TATATCAATACTTGATGGAGGGGCCTGGGAGATGGCTCAGTAGAGTAAGTGGTTCCCTGGCAAGCGCAAGGGTCTGAGTTCAATCACTGGTTCCACAAAAACAAACAAACAAACAAACAAACAAACAAAAAACCAACAAAACTTGATGGAAAATACCTGTTCCATGTTATGTCTAAGATGTTTGATATTCAGATAGATAGTTAAGTTAAGCTCAACTGCCTATATTATAGGGTCATAATATCATTAAGCTTCTTTTCTGGAGAGTGAACAACTTAAGTTTGCAGACCAAAAATTAGAGAAAAAGAAGGTCTATAAGGACAGCCAACATTTTGGCCCTAGCCTTTCAAAGTCAGTGAGGACTCAGGGCATAAGAGAACCTGTACTGTAACATCCTATAACTCAGTGGTGTCCCAAATTTTCTGTTCAAGGAGATTATGGGGACACAGACGAATGTGATTGACAATGTAGAGTGTGCCTAAGGAGAGTCACGAGGAGAGAAAACATTCTCTCAGGCTTTCACAGAGAGCAAATTAGTCAAGCAATGGCCGTGACTCATCCATATGGCTGACACTGATGAAAGATCTACAAACTGCGGTACAGGATTTCGGGGTAAATGCTGAGAGGATCCAACTGACCTTGGCAGATACAAAAGCTACATTTCTTGTTATATAGGTCTTGTTTTATCTTGGTCTTAACTATCCAGCAGAAAAGTATAAAAACGAGGTATAAAAAGTAAAGCTATATTAATAGGCTGAGCTATAAAAGGCTCAAGTCAACAACTTCTGACATTGCCAGTACTGCGGATAACCCACTACTGTTATGGACTACTGGACTATATTGGATTATTTAGCTGAATTCACACACCTACAATATTTAAATGGCAATGGAATACCCATCTCTGACAGGACTAAACAAAAAGGGGGATATAAATGAAGGACCATTTTGTATCTGTATATACAAAATAGTTGGGATAGATATATAGCTACTTTCTCTTAATTCAATGAGAAAAAAGATTTATACTAATACTGTTTAGACAAGATATTATGTCTTCATCTTGTACTATGAATAACCACTACGAAGACAACAATATGCAATGTATTAATTATTGTAACTGTCCTACTAACCTGTTTTGAAACGGTCTCATTACTATTTGTTTCTCAATAAAATTAATAAAAATAGATGTTCTACGATCAGTGTGCAATATGAAATGAAATGAGTGAGAGAACCTGCCTTGTGACACCTCTATATTAATCCTTAGAAAAACAAACCCACCCCCCCAAAAAGTAAAACAGATTTCCAGGGTCTTGTTCCAGGAAGTCCTATTTGACCACATTCTCTCAGTATTTGGCATAGGAAACACTAATGAAGAGGCAAGCCCGGCACAATGGCTTTTGCAAATGATCTTCCTTTCTAGCACAGAAGCATGTGGGATTAGGACATGGAAGAAAAAGGTTCTCAGCACTAAAGAGGAAAGAATGTACACACACAGACACACACCCGAGAGAGACGAGAGAGAGAGAGAGAGAGAGAGAGAGAGAGAGAGAGAGAGAGAGAGAGACCGAAAAATTAGGTCTCTAATATTACTTTAGTCAATTTTAGCTGACTCCAGTCGACCTGCCACTGACCTTCGTGTCGTTTGCTCCAAGGGAGAACAGGATGGAGGGTGAGCCCATCTATGAGTGCGAATGTACACACACAGACACACACCCGAGAGAGACGAGAGAGAGAGAGAGAGAGAGAGAGAGAGAGAGAGAGAGAGAGAGAGAGACCGAAAAATCTAAAATCTGAAAGAATTGGACTGAACTCCAGTCAATTAAACGCCACTTTTTACCCACATCCTGAAAGGGTAGAAAAAACACAGGAAAAAGGCTCATTCTAAAATGTGTGTGTTTTGCTTTTCTTTTTAAAAGAAAAACATAAATCACCCAGATATCTGAATAGCTCTGCTGGGTTGTTTTTGTTTGCATGGTTCCCACTGTTCCTCTGACTGCTGAAAAGGAAATTAAAAAACAAATCTTTTGAGTGAATCCTTAAATCTCAGTTGTTTAGAGCACATACTTCGTACCCACACAGATATGGGCTCTGTCACTGGCTTGCTAAGTAATGCTGGAGAAGTTTCTTAACCACTTTTAAGAACCTACTTCTCCTGCAATTGAAGTAGGAGCATGAATAGTGCTGACCTCAAAGGGTGGCTAGAAAATTAAATGGAATGATGCAGTAGAAAGATTTGCCTCGCGTACTGTAAGCTTCAATAAGTGGCAGCTAAAGAATGGGGGCCGTGGAAGAACTGCTCTATCTATGAAGAAAACAATTTCAAGGACACGTTTTTGTTTATTATCATACTTGCCATCACAGGTGAAAAGGACCCCCGCAAATGTAGGATGGTGGTCCTCCGCAGGCTTTCCCACTTTGCACATTGGAGAGGGTGGGTAGGCAGCCTCCTCACCTGCATGTCAGCGTGGGCTTGGTAGAGCAGCGATTCCACCTCCCAGCACTGACTTGGGTCCTCTGTCGAGGCCCACGGGAGGCCAAGGCCTGCTTCAATTTCCCAGTAGCCAGGGCTGGTGGGTCCCAGTGCTCTCCAGCAAGCCTTGGCTAGACACAAGCCCAAACCTGCACCACCGTGCTTGCTGCCTATACCCTCTGTGCTCAATGGAACCAAATGCCCTGCACATCCTCCTAAGTTTATCTGTGCCAGAAAATGACAGTTCTGAGTGTTTTTAAATTAAGTGA